GGATGGCTCCGCCCAGCATAGTGGGAGTCGGAATGCTATGAGACCTACGCGCTACCGACTGCGCCATCGAGGCTTGCTATTTTAAACGGCTTTGCGCTTCAGTTTTTGTCATCTATGGCACTTGAGAACCGCTATTTCGCCTTCTACAAAACGCAAGCCACAGGTTCCCATCGAAGCGCCATTTGATTGAAAAAACTAACTACTTTCCGTAGTAGCGCGCGACTCGCCTCCTACACGCAGCTGAACCACGCCTGCCAACCGCTCTCAGCACCGACGATTAGTCTACTAACACCGTATTCGATCACTTAACTCCGTCAGTTAGTCGCTTGAATTCGTCAACTGGCTCTCGCGCTATGATGCAGCTTCGGATGGCAATCAGAAGTCCCACCCTCCAGCTTCCACTAGCCTTCCTCAACCGATCTTTTCTACCTCGTCGTGTAGATCGATTCAGAGGGGGCCCGTTAAGCTCACATCCTCTAGGAATCTCCATCTCACGTCTGCACCAGCCTTCTCACCAGCAGACTGTGTCATTTCAGAAGCTATCAGCATCCTTCCTTCACGGTCCCCCTCTGTCAGAATCAGAATCAGAATCGAAATCAGAATCAGATCCAGTATCTCGTCAATCTGATGATCACTCAAGTTGCGAATCTGATCCGTCCCGTTGGGCGGCCGTATACGACAAGGACCGCCGCCCGCTCTGCGAGCACGAACCATCAGCGCTCGTCCCGCTGGACGAGGTGCTGACGTGGCAGGCGGAGCAGCAGCGGCGGATCGACGGTGAGATCGGCGACAGGCTGGAGCAATCCGACGGTGGACCTTCGAGAAAAGAGCTTAGGAGGGAGTTAGAATGGATGCTAGAAGATGCAACAGCTGGGTGGGTGGAGGGCGGAATCACAAGGGAGGAGGATGTTGATACTTCTAGGGTAAAGGGTTTGGTGGTTCAAGGAACTGGGCAGGGGGAAGGGGAAGGAGAGGGGATGGAAGAGGGGGTGGAGGGGAAAAGGGTGGGTTTGAGAGAGGAGGGTGAAGGGCTCGGTGAAAAGGAGTGGTTGAGGCGTTTGAAACGGTTGAATTGGAGAGACGTACAGCTGATGGGAAATGGCGTGCAGGGAGGCAACAGCAGTAGAAGCAACAGCCAATTCACTCCCCCTGGAACAAGCATTACCAGCACCACCAGCACCACCAACACCAGCAGCGCCAGCAGCACCAGCAGCCACCCCTCCTCCGCCTCTCCCCTCATAGCCCTCCGCCTGCCCTTCCCCTCTCTGCGCCTGCTCTGGCGCGCGCGCCTCTCCCTCCGCGTGCCCTCGCAGTACCTCGTGGGGGGGGCGCACTGGCGCGACCTGCTGCTTGCTGTCCAGCCGGGCGTGCTTATACCGAGGCCAGAGACTGAGCTCTTAGTGGATCTGGCTGTAGCGGGGATGGAGAAGGCTGAGGAGATGGAGAGAGGGGGGAGGGAGAGGGAGGGTTTGGGGGAGAGGGAGGGTTTGGCGGGGAAGGAGATTTGGGCGGATCTGGGGACGGGGAGTGGGGCTATCGCTGTGGCTTTGGCTCGGGAATTACTCAAGAGGAGGGAGAAAAGGGAGAAGCAATGTGGGGAGGGCAGAGGAGAGAGGAGCGGGGATGGAGAGAGAAGAGGGGATGGAGAGGGTGGGGGGATGGGAGAGCGAGAAGGGCTGGGAGAGGAGGTGGTGGTGGTGGCGGTGGATGCGAGTGCAGTGGCGTGTGAGGTGGCAGCATTGAATGCGGCGAGATATGGGCTGCAGGTGAGAATGCTACTAAAGCCCTAAACCTGGAAACGTTACACCTTCAACCCTGAATGCTAGTGCAGTGGCGTGGGAGGTAGGTAGCGGCAATGAATTGCGCGAGATACAGGCTGTAGGTTAAAATCCTAAATAAATCACTGCTCGCATTCCAACTCATCCCATCCGATTCCAACCCATCCCATCCCATCCCATCCCATCCCATCCCATCCCACCCCACCCCGTTCCAAGTGGATCCCAAGGTGGCAGCACTGATTGCTTTTCTCTCTCTCTCCAATACACGTGTTGTGTGCTTATTGGTGCTATCTGACCGCCCTTGCTTCTTGCTATTCAGCACAGGCGGAACTCACCATCAGCAGACATCCCATACCATCTGCTGCCATCCCTTTTAACGAAGTCTTTCTCATCCTTCCCGTCCCATTTCATTCAGGATACGTACACGTGGCACGTGGTGATTGGTTCTTGCCACAGCATGGGCATGTAAGGTCGGTCGGTTGAACAGCATGGTGGGCTCTGCAATCCCCCTGGAATCCCGTCCTCTGCCATCTGCTGCCATCGCTGCTAACAAAGTTCCCCTCTCATCCTTCCCCCCTTCTCTTTCATCAGGAACACATACATGTGGCACGTGGTGATTGGTTCGCCCCTTTGCACAGCATGGGCATGCATGGTCGGTTGCATGGCACAGTGAGCACCCCCCCCGTACATCCCATGCCACCTGCTGTCATCCCTGCTAACGAAGTTCCCCTCGCCTCCCTCCCTTTCCATTGCACCAGGAACACATACACGTGGCACGTGGTGATTGGTTCGCACCTCTGCATGAGATGGGCATGCACGGTCGGTTGCATGTCATCGTGAGCAACCCCCCCTACATCCCATGCCGCCTGCTGCCATCCCTGCTAACAGAGCTCTCCTCACCTCATTTTCTTTCCATGCCACAGGAGCACATACACGTGGCGCGTGGTGATTGGTTCGCGCCCCTTCATGAAATGGGTATGCATGGTGGGTTGCATGGCATCGTGAGCAACCCCCCTTACATCCCATGCCATCTGCTGCCATCGCTGCAACCTGAGGTGCGGCTACATGAGCCCTCCTTGGCCCTTGACGGAGATGCTTATACGGAGGATGGGTACAGATCCGCTGCTGCTGATGCTGCCACTGCAGCTGCTGGTGGTTCTGCTGGTGATGCTGCCGGTGATGCTGCTGCTTATGTTGCCACTGCTGCTGCCGGTGGTGCTGCTGGTGGTGCTGATGGTACAATTTCTGCTGCTCGTGCATCGTCTACAATAGATGGTACAATCAGTGATGCTGCTGCTGCTAATGGCGATACCAACACGGATGGCACGGCATGTCTGCGCCACATCTGTCAGAATGCATCCACCTTCCTTCGCCCCTTCGGCTTCCTGGCACTTGAGGTAAGCCCCTCTTTTTACCCAACGAGCCCGAGCCTTCTCTGTCCGTTATCTGCTCTAATTCCTTAGACTTTGTTTTTCCCTTGAATTTTAACATATTCTGTGTGGTGCTGCTGCTTCAAATCTCTTGTTTCTTCTCCGTTTGGTTGCCAGACTCATGGGTGGGGTCAAGCGGAGATTATTGCCGATGTTTTGGCCAATCAGAGATCGCCAGATGGCAGGTTGATGTATTGTGATGTACAATTGGCCAAAGACTGGTATGGTGTTACTCGCTTTGTAACAGCACACCGAACAGACTTGACATCGTAAGCGTGTGATGTGTTTTATTGATTCAAATTAAGTTTAGGATCTTGTACCTTATGGTACCTTCCTGCAACAAGAGGCGCAATTGTGGGGAAACAAATGAGCACGCATTTGCGAGCTACTGTAATAACTGTGCGAATAAACATAACCGTGCACTAGTATGAAGTTGATGAGAAGATGCGCAAGTGCTGTCATAGTAAAAGCCTTCAACATTGTTGAGAGAGAATAGATCAAAAGTGGTAATGGAATATTTATAACTGTGAACAACATTACCCTGATATGAGGGCACGTATTAGTGGAACACCGGGCTCCTTGCTCTAAACCCCTAAAGTGACAACCACGTCATACACCTGCGACGCGATCCAACTTCCCACTCACCGTTTTCCCCGTTTATCTCGCTATCGAAACCGTAATTTACAGACATTTTATGTGCGTTTCCGTTCCGTTCTTCTTGTTTTCGTCAACCCGCACATTTCCCGCCCGTTCGTCTTAGCTCGCGCTGTTTTCTTCCAGTCGAAACCGCGCTAGCGGCCAAGCGTCGCGGAACGGAGAGGCAGGAAGCGCGAATGCGTATGCTCGTGCATCGCGTATGCGGCATCCCCCCACTCCCCTCTTTCGCGCTTGGCACTCGGCGCGCCGCGGCCTTAGGCCGAGCCGCACACGCATCGCCACCTCAGGCATCGCACGCTAAACATCCGTTTTTCTCTCACACATCCTCTGTCCTACACGAGTGAAGCCAGGGGGGCGTTCCCGTACTTTCACTCATCCTAGCCGTTTCCCTGCTTTCACTCGTCCGCCGCTCTACTCTCACCGCCGCTAGCTGCCCCTACGCCCGAACCCCGTTCTATCGGATCCGATATAGAGCTCTACGATGGTCGTTTCAGTGAAGACGAGATGACATACGTGAAACACACTTCTTGAAGCTGACTGTAGCGAGATTTGTTATAAGACGCCACGATGTTCGTACTAACGGAGATGGAGGATGACATTCGCGTCGCACCTCACGACCTGCACCGCCCGCATTTGACGGCCGTCAGCTCGGAGATTAAAGCCAAGTATTTCGATAAGGTATAGGTATGGGATAAGGCGTTTGACCTCAAAATGCCAAGGGAGCCAAGGCGAGCCATCGGCCACGATATCGATTTACCCTTCCGATCCTGGTTTTTTCCTTCACCTCGCCTTGGCTCCCTTCCTATGTTCACCTCGCCTTGGCTCCCCTCCCTTCCTATGTACACGCCGTCCGAACCAGTGAAGTGCCACCCGCCACGCCACCAGGTGCTACGTAGCGCGGGTCTCAGTATCTCGCACTTCTCATGCGGGATACTGAGACTCGCAGAACGACATAAGATCTACAGAAGGTTGGAGCCCTTCTCATGCATACCCTCTGAACCCCACCCCACCCCTTTCTTTGCCAATCCCCCCTTTCCTTTCCATCCGTGTCTGACTGACCGATCCACAAATCAGGTTCTGTGCAGAGTGGGTCCCTGTGGCCCTCTTCCCTCAAACGACTTTTGAGGCGCCTCAAATGCTGTGCAGAGTGGGTCCCTGTGGCCCTCTTCCCTCAAACCCTCCCTCTCTTTATCCATCAATGTTCCCCCAAACCACCAGGTGTTGTGCAACGTGGGTGGGTCTATGCATCTCGTTGCGCAACCTGCAGTCAGTGCAAGGGGTTGTTCATTCACCCCTTTTATTCATACCCCCCTTCGACTCATACCTTGCCATTTCCCCTGTCCCACACCAGGTGTTTTGCAACGTGGGTGGGTCTATGCATCTCGCTGCAGGACCTGCAGTCAGCGCAAGGGGGGTTTATCAACCTCTTGAGATTTATATCCCTTACGTTCTGAATCACTTCCTTCTCTTTTGTAACCCCCCAACCGAGTCCCCCGTCAGGTGCTGCAAAACGTGGGTCTCTACATCTCGCTGCACGACCTGCAGTCAGGGCAAGGGGGTTTCATCTACCCCCCTTCGATTCATACCCCCCTGTGTTTCCCCACTGAAATATGCAACTGTCTCCCATCAGGTGCTGCAAAATGTGGGTCTCCACATCTCGCTGCACGACCTGCAATTAGTGGGGGGAGGATTCATCTACCCCCTGTGATCCCCCCCTCTCGCTTTTCTTTGCCAATCCCCCCGTTCCACACCACATCAGGTGTTGCGTAACGTGGGTCTCTGCATTTCGCTGCACGACCTGCAGTCAGTGCAAGGGGGGTTCATCTACCCCCCTTGGACTCGTACCTCTTTTTCTTGCCATTTCCCCTGTTCCGCATCAGGTGCTGCAAAACGTGGGTCTCTACATCTCGCTGCACGACCTGCAGTCAGTTCAAGGGGGGTTCATCTACCCCCCTTCGATTCAAACCCCCCTGTGTTTCCCCACTGAAATATGCAACTGTCTCCCGTCAGGTGCTGCAAAATGTGGGTCTCCACATCTCGCTGCACGACCTGCAATTAGTGGGGGGAGGATTCATCTACCCCCTGTGATCCCCCCCTCTCGCTTTTCTTTGCCAATCCCCCCGTTCCACACCACATCAGGTGTTGCGTAACGTGGGTCTCTGCATTTCACTGCATGACCTGCAGTCAGTGGAAGGGGGGTTCATTTTCCCTTCCGACCCTGGCCCGCATTTCACTGTGAGTGAGATCTCTGCTCCTTCTGAGCCGACTCGAATGTCACCTTGAGAGAGGGGGGGTCATTTTCCCTTCCGACCCTGGCCCTCATTTCACTGTGAGATCTGTGCTTCGTCACACCACTATCCTACCTCCATTCCACCTTTCTACCTTCCTCCCACCTTCCTGCACCTCCCGTCCACTTCCTTTTCACACCCCTTCCACCTCCTTTCCACCTCCCCTCCATTTCCCTCCCACCTCCCTTCCACCTCCCTTCCACCTCTTTTTCACCAGGCCCTCTCCTCCACACCACTCTCACACTCACTTTCTCCCCTCACTTACTCCCCCGTCCCTGCCTGATTCCTCTCCCCTTTCATTTCTTACCACACACACAACAGCTTAACTCCCTTACGAGCTCTCCCCATTTGCCCCTCTCCCGTTGCCCCTCCCTTTTTGTTTCTTGCATACATGTCAGTTTCGCTCTCGTCTTGTACTCTTCTCTCCTTGCTCTTCCTGCACTCTTCCATCCACCTATCTGTCTCTTCCTCCTGTCCTCTTCCTCACTCATCTTGCCCGTTCCCCCCTTCCCATCCACACTTCGAGTTATCTTTGGGCTTGTCGTCATTGCACTCTCACTTTCCCTCCCTTCTCCCCTTCACACATCAAGTTCCCTTTACGGTTATCCATCTCCTCCTCCTCCTCCCTCCCTCTCGCCCTCCCACTCTCCTTTCACGCATCAGTTTCTCTACCGAACCGACTTGTTGTCTTCGAGGTGACTTTTGAGTCAACTCAAAATTCCCCTCCCACTCCCCTTTCTCGCATCAGTTTCTCTACCGACTTGTTGCCTTCTCACTCTCAGTTGCCCTCCTTTCTTCCCTCCCTCCATCTCTTCCTCTCTCGTTTCTCCTTTCTCCCTCCCTTTCACTCCCCCTTTCACAAAGCGTACCTTTTTACAGACAACTGATTACGGACCCATTAGGTTGGCTTTTGAGGCGCCTCAAAAATTGCGGGATAATAGACGGCTTTTGAGGCGCCTAAAAAAACCTTTTCACAGACAACTGACTACGGACCCATTAGGTTGGCTACAGACATGTGCCTCTCTCACCCTCAGTTGCCCTCCCTTCTTCCCCCCATCCATCCAAACCCTTTCCCTTCTTTTTCCTCAACACACACCCACCAGGTTCGCCATTTGCGGGCTAAGTGCTGGTTGTGAGGCATCCCAGTAATCCCGTCCCCTCCTCCCCTTGCCTCTCCTTTCTCGATATATGCACCCATCAGGTTCGCTTTCGTCTTGTCGTGTTCTCACCATTCGCCGGGGAAGTGCTTGTGGGGAGGCTGGTGAAATGCGATGCCACAGGGCTGTTTGGTACGGTTGCATGCCTTGTTCTCTAGTTCAATGACTAGTGCTTCTCTCCAGCAGGCTGGTGAAAGGCGATCCCACAGGCTGTTAGGCATGTGTTTGATTTCCTAGGCGCCTCTCGGGTCTGTTCACACGGGTTTTTCAGGGGCTAGGACAAAAGATGGGAAAGTGTTTGTGGGCTGGCTGGTATAATGTGATGTGATGCCCCATGCCAGTCCTCTCTTCAGTGCTTTTGCATCATGTTCTTCCCTTCATTGATGCACCTAAAAAAGGAGGGGATGGGCTTGTGAGAATTGACGCGAGAGGTGTCTACAGTATGGTCGTATGGTCGTATGGTTCTGCTCTTTGTAGGCACGCTTTCTTTTCTTGTTTGAAAGCCAGGCTTGTGAAAGAAGTTTATTTTTTATTTTGCACCTCGGGTTTTACTTGCAGTATCACTGGACTTTTTCTCCGATATACACATTCCTCATTACAACCTACAAGAGCCTTCAGTTTTGTGAGTAATAACGGCTGAACATGCTTTTGGACCATCACTGAATGGTATGTATTGTTGTGCATGTTGCCGCATGTGTCCGTGTGTGTTTTGTGGGTATCTGTCACGTATGTCCGTACACTTGTTATGATGCATACATGGTTAAGTCATTCAAATGTACGTAATGAATGCATGCATGATTATTTGCATGGGCATGTCACGTGTGTGCTCGAATTTTTTCTGTTACGTGTGTCTGGTTGTATTCATGGTGTAAGTCATTCGTCTGTGTCCACGCCCTTGAGTAATGAATAAGTAATTCTACCACGCCCTTCCTCATTATCTGTGTCTGTTTGCATGCTTTCTTTTTCAAGTGCGCCCTGCATGTTCGTGTGCCCCTCTGCATGTCTGTCTGTGTCTGCATTCACATGCCTTTTGAGTCGATTCATAAGTAATATTTTTGTGCCCCTGCACGTATGTGTCCCTGTCAATCTGTATGTGTCCCTGTCAATCTGTATGTGCCCCTGTCAATCTGTATGTGTCCCTGTCAATCTGTATGTGTCCCTGTCAATCTGTATGTGTCCCTGTCAATCTGTATGTGTCCCTGTCAATCCGTATGTGTCCCTGTCAATCTGTATGTGTCCCTGTCAATCCGTATGTGTCCCTGTCAATCTGTATGTGTCCCTGTCAATCTGTATGTGTCCCTGTCAATCTGTATGTGTCCCTGTCAATCTGTATGTGTCCCTGTCAATCTGTATGTGTCCCTGTCAATCTGTATGTGTCCCTGTCAATCTGTATGTGTCCCTGTCAATCTGTATGTGTCCCTGTCAATCTGTATGTGTCCCTGTCAATCCGTATGTGTCCCTGTCAATCTGTATGTGTCCCTGTCAATCTGTATGTGTCCCTGTCAATCTGTATGTGTCCCTGTCAATCTGTATGTGTCCCTGTCAATCTGTATGTGTCCCTGTCAATCTGTATGTGTCCCTGTCAATCTGTATGTGTCCCTGTCAATCTGTATGTGTCCCTGTCAATCTGTATGTGTCCCTGTCAATCTGTATGTGTCCCTGTCAATCTGTATGTGTCCCTGTCAATCTGTATGTGTCCCTGTCAATCTGTATGTGTCCCTGTCAATCTGTATGTGTCCCTGTCAATCTGTATGTGTCCCTGTCAATCTGTATGTGTCCCTGTCAATCTGTATGTGTCCCTGTCAATCTGTATGTGTCCCTGTCAATCTGTATGTGTCCCTGTCAATCTGTATGTGTCCCTGTCAATCTGTATGTGTCCCTGTCAATCTGTATGTGTCCCTGTCAATCTGTATGTGTCCCTGTCAATCTGTATGTGTCCCTGTCAATCTGTATGTGTCCCTGTCAATCTGTATGTGTCCCTGTCAATCTGTATGTGTCCCTGTCAATCTGTATGTGTCCCTGTCAATCTGTATGTGTCCCTGTCAATCTGTATGTGTCCCTGTCAATCTGTATGTGTCCCTGTCAATCTGTATGTGTCCCTGTCAATCTGTATGTGTCCCTGTCAATCTGTATGTGTCCCTGTCAATCTGTATGTGTCCCTGTCAATCTGTATGTGTCCCTGTCAATCTGTATGTGTCCCTGTCAATCTGTATGTGTCCCTGTCAATCTGTATGTGTCCCTGTCAATCTGTATGTGTCCCTGTCAATCTGTATGTGTCCCTGTCAATCTGTATGTGTCCCTGTCAATCTGTATGTGTCCCTGTCAATCTGTATGTGTCCCTGTCAATCTGTATGTGTCCCTGTCAATCTGTATGTGTCCCTGTCAATCTGTATGTGTCCCTGTCAATCTGTATGTGTCCCTGTCAATCTGTATGTGTCCCTGTCAATCTGTATGTGTCCCTGTCAATCTGTATGTGTCCCTGTTCACATGCCCTTGTTCCGAATGACAATGATAGTGATGAGCAGGAGAAGCTTGAGTCGACTCAAAAGCCACCTGTCAATCTGTCTGAAGCTTGAGTCGACTCAAAAGCCACCTGTCAATCTGTCTGAAGCTTGAGTCGACTCAAAAGCCACCTGTCAATCTGTCTGAAGCTTGAGTCGACTCAAAAGCCACCTGTCAATCTGTCTGAAGCTTGAGTCGACTCAAAAGCCACCTGTCAATCTGTCTGAAGCTTGAGTCGACTCAAAAGCCACCTGTCAATCTGTCTGAAGCTTGAGTCGACTCAAAAGCCACCTGTCAATCTGTCTGAAGCTTGAGTCGACTCAAAAGCCACCTGTCAATCTGTCTGAAGCTTGAGTCGACTCAAAAGCCACCTGTCAATCTGTCTGAAGCTTGAGTCGACTCAAAAGCCACCTGTCAATCTGTCTGAAGCTTGAGTCGACTCAAAAGCCACCTGTCAATCTGTCTGAAGCTTGAGTCGACTCAAAAGCCACCTGTCAATCTGTCTGAAGCTTGAGTCGACTCAAAAGCCACCTGTCAATCTGTCTGAAGCTTGAGTCGACTCAAAAGCCACCTGTCAATCTGTCTGAAGCTTGAGTCGACTCAAAAGCCACCTGTCAATCTGTCTGAAGCTTGAGTCGACTCAAAAGCCACCTGTCAATCTGTCTGAAGCTTGAGTCGACTCAAAAGCCACCTGTCAATCTGTCTGAAGCTTGAGTCGACTCAAAATCCACCTGTCAATCTGTCTGAAGCTTGAGTCGACTCAAAAGCCACCTGTCAATCTGTCTGAAGCTTGAGTCGACTCAAAAGCCACCTGTCAATCTGTCTTCAGTCGAGAAGGAGAAGCTAGGGGTTCAGAACATGATAATATGTTTGTTCTAAGAGTTCTTTCAACGCATGTGCCCACGTTCGTGCCCATGCAGTGACGAGCAGGAGAAGCTGTGACTTTGAGTCGACTCAAAAACCACCTGTCAACCTGCCTGCCTGTGTCTGCACACACGCACCCTTACTCGCCCCCATGGCAGTGACGAGCAGGAGAAGCTGTGGGTGTGGAAGTTCAACGACAACGACATGTTTCTGGACATGGATGAACTGGTATGACTGGTGTTGACTGGGGTTGACTGGCGTTGACTGACTAGCGTTGACTCGCGTTGACTTGACTGGCGTTGACTGTCTGGCGTTGACTCGCGTTGACTGGCAGTGCCACATTGCCGGGCAATAAGACAACCATAGAAACGACAATGACATGTTTCTTGGCATGGATGAACTGGTATGACTCGCGTCGACCGGAGATGACTGGCGTTGACTGGTTGTGCTACACTGCCATTTGGTCACACATCAATGGAAGTTAGTTGACAACGACATGCTCCTTTACATGGATGAACTAGTATGATGCGCGTTGACTTCCGCCAATTAGTGTTGACTGGCATTGACTGGCGTTGACTGGCATTGACTGGCAAAGTCTGGCATTGACTGACATTGATTGGCATTGACTGGCATTGACTAACTGGCATCGACTGGCTTTCCCACACACAGTGCCATGCCAGAGGGGGGATGCGTCATTTGCCATACCATATCATAACAACCTTATCACCTTCGTCCCTATGGAGCAGGAGGAGAGAGCTAT